ATATATTAATATTAATCAGTAAAATAAAGTTACTATCGGTCCTTGTACTCGTGTTTTACTCAAATTGATTGAGTAATGAGTTTGTTGCTTTAAATCAATTATTAAGTGATTTTTAGAATTTTTTACATTATTTGATGAGTATTCAATTGATTTCCGTATAAGTATTTAGATTGAGATTTTTTTTTTAAAATTTTCAAATTTATGTGGATTCTCAATTTTACGTTTGAAACGGGGCATGTAGATTCATTAGACGGTTGCCACGGCAATTTTACGTAAGGACTTCGCAAACACATTGGTTCTAAAATCTGCTTAGTAGTCCAAAACACTTGTAATGTCTCCCGTTTTGTAGTAGTTTGGTAGCACTCGTTGAATATTCATATGCTCATAATTACATGTGGAAACGTTTAGTTCCTTCTATAGTTCTATATATGATGGCATATGTCACTTTTATCTATTTTATGTGCCATTTTTATCTTATTAGTTGTATTTCAAATAGTTTTAACTTATTCACTGTTATTTGATTAATTCATTAAAATTAATACCAATCTCTCTACACGTACAAAAAACCACTACCTCCGTCCTACAATCTTAATTAGCCAAATCTTAAAATTTGGATCATCATTTTGATTATTAGTAGTATAATATTATGAAACTTATAAATTTTATACATTTATGAAAGTACTTTTAACACGGAATATTTTCGTATCTTTTTTATAATATAAATAAGGGAAAAGTACGGAAAAGATACTTGTGGTTGAACCCGTTTTCAGATAGAGTCATGTGTTTCATTTATTATCAAAGTGGTTCGTGTGTTTGAATTTTGTTATCACAAGAGGGGCACACTGTTAAAAACGTCTGAGAAAGACGGTTAATAGTAACTCTGAGATGCCTTATGCATGGACGGCCAGGTGGGAAGAAGAGCGCCTCGAGATACGCGAAAAAGTGTACCCCAATAATCTCCAACCGTTGAGCTCTCAATCCGACAATAGATCTCGGCCAGGCACCCTACCTTGCTGCTAGAGCAAGGCACAGACCCTGAATCCCATCATCACACTCTTATTATTGTTGACTCAATTAACTATGTAAAAAAATATTATGTAGTGTTCTATATTTATACCACTAGCATTATAATTTAATTTTGTCCCTATTTTTTTAATTCCAGGGGGCTAGGGGGTCTGGAATAATCAGGGTTGAAACTCACTCCATTGAGTTTCGAATCTTTATGTGCCTAGTGGGTTTTGAACTCGAGACCTCTACTAGGCACGGTAACTTCACAACCAGCTGAGCCGGAATGCTTGGTTTTAGTCCCTATATATGTAAAGGTGTATAACTACTATGTCGAGCACTTAAATAAATATACAACGCCTAAGAACGGCTAAACTCACATAATCTTATTCCCCTTACTATATGAACTATTGAGTGATGTATGATAGTGAAAGAATATTTACCGGTGGGCGTAGCTCAACTGGTAGCGAGGGAGTGCCACAAGGGTTAGGTCTCGGGTTCGAATCCCGGCAACTGCGATGAGGGGTTACTATGCTGAAAAATACATAGGGCTTCTGCAAGTACCGGGGACAGAGCCTCACTCTCTATCTGTCAGATTGTGATTATAGTCCAATTTACATCCTCCCATCGTGCCGTCCGGTCGGTGTTGGGGGGCCCTCAGGGATGGGGTGTCATCCTTTCTTTTTTTTGTGAAAGAATATTTTTATTTGGAACAACATACCTGCCTCTTTTTCTAACTTGTCACACTGATGAGGATTGAGGATGTTTGGCTTCAAAGTAGGCCTACCTTGTTTTTTTAAGTGCATAGAGTACACATTTCAACGATATCAAAAGTAATAAACACATGCATTCTTTTATCTTAAGACAAATGTTCACATTCGATCTGAACAAGTCTTCTACAGTATTACTTTTAACTAGACTAGATTGACAAATTGTACTAAATTAAATAACGATTTTGATGTACATTTAGTAAAGTTTGAGCTACAATGTACAGTACTTAGAAGTCCTACGAAGACATTCATGTGTGACATATATTTAATGGGTAATGGTCACATGCCTAACTCTACATTTGTCCATAAATGTTTTTTATAACATGAGCGTTGAGGCGGTCCTGATTCAGTGGCGGAGCCAGCTATTCATTGGAATGGTGTCAACTTTTTAAACTAAATACTACTTCTATGACTCGATATTACAAATAAACTTATTGATAATCATAGTATCATACGCGCTTCTTCTACAATTTTTCGAGTCAGTTTTCAGGTTTTAAAACACGGAAAATAACTTTACATGATATTTCCTATGTCTCGCTAAGATTGTCCCATCTTTCCTTTTCGGTCTATCCCACTAAGATTATCTTATACCAAATTATGTTAAATTCATTTGATTCTAAATTGTTTTTACTTTATTTTTATGCTATCAATTCAATATCAATCTCATAAACTACCTTTCTTAATAACCGTATCTCCTCCTCGTGTCCTAATGTTACTGACAATTATCACTAGTAGTATCAACCGTGAAGGTAATATAAATTATCACCAATAATAATACACCAATTAAATAGCTATTTCATATCTCACCAACTCAAATTTCATATCATATAATAAATATGATATAAAGTCATTTTCTGTTTCAAATTCGTTCATTCAAATAATAATAAATTTAATTCAATCCATCGAATAAATCCTATTTGATGGTCAAATATGATGCTCTCATAGATACATTGGCCCGGTTTGATGACAAAATCGATCTTTTTATACTCCGTACATAATATGTACATATTTGACTTTAAAAAATATTTCAAATATATATATATGAAATAAATTTATTTACAAAATATCATTAAAAGTTAGTATGGTATAGTGTGATCATTGTCACTACAAGTAAGACATTACTTTTTGTAAAGAGCCTTTATTTTAATCATTTTTTTAAGGGAAAACTATCAAATAAGCCCCCGTACTATACCGAAAAAGTCAATTAGGCCCTCGTACTTTACAAACGCTCAATTAAGTCCTCGAACTATTAAAAACGTTCAATTAAGCCCTTTTGGTCAGTAAGGAACCGGTTTCCCAGTTAAATGTAACCCGTTTCCCGGCAACCGCCATTGCTGGGGTTCGAGCACATCGTTGCCGTCATCGCCGTTTAATCGGGAAACCGGTTACTTACCGACCAAAAGGGCTTAATTGAATGTTTTTTAATAGCTCGGGGACTTAATTGAATGTTTGTAAAGTACGAGGGCCTAATTGACTTTTTCGGTATAGTACGGGGGCTTATTTGATAGTTTTCCCTTTTTTTAATCAAAATAGAATTTTATTAAATGAAGAAAGCAGTACAAAACGAGAAAGGAAAAGAGTACATAAATAAATAAAACAGAAATAACTAATCCCAAGGAAAATCTCTGGACTGCGACCTCGTCTTCATGCTATGGCATTTTTTGTTCTTCTGAGATTTTTTGTAAATCTTGAGTTGAGTGTTCAAATTATCTGTTGGCAGATAATTTTCCGAAGTTACAAAATCTGCTTTGTGACAGATTGCACTGTTGAATTTCGATTTAATCATATATATGTAATTATATATGATTAAATCATAAATATGTAATTATTTCATATTTATTTATACTTTGACCTTCATTCCATTTATAGAGGTGGTGTTAAATTACTTTTTTAGAATAAAATACGGTTATATATAACTACAAAAATATTTGAGTGGTGTCAATTGGCAACATCTCATATATATTGGTGGTGTCAAATTAGTTTTTAGAAAAATTACCTCTCTATATATAACTACAAAAATTATTTGAGTGGTGTCAATTGACACCACAACCTTATATGTGGCTCTCTCACTATCCCTAGGACCAAGTGACCGACTGAATTTTGCCAGGTTCATGGCTGGACTGTGAACAAACGCAACACAGCCGGCTGGTAGCTAGGCTGTTCGGTGCCAGGGTGGCGTTCGGGGGGTGGGGGTCCGGGGGGCACAGTCGGGTCCGGGGCGGAGGCATGTCAGTATATTAGAATGACTAGTAGAAAGAATATTTTTGGAAAAAAAATTACACGATTTTTTTACCATAATAATTTAAACAAAATCGAAACTTGGAGTGCCTCTCTCTAGCTACGCCCCCGGCGGGCTCGACTTGGCCGCTTACTTGGTCAATCTAGTGTGGGGGCGGGGGCGGTGGGTTCGAAGGCGGAAGTAAAAACTTGCCAGGTTAATAAGACCGGACGGAAACCATTTTAATCTCATTTTTTATAGGATTGGGATCCTCTGCCCGACTAGAAGGGTGCCTTGCGCATCGGACGGTCGGGTAGCAGCGAGGACGGTCTCGAGATCTGTGAAAATGTGAACACCAAGATCTACGACCGTTGAATTATCTTCATTGCTTCAGAGGCTCCGAATCCTTGGTCACAAACTGGATCCAACTGACGTTTTGCACTTTTGCCCAACAAGCCAGTATCCAAACACACAGCCAAAGTCTGCCAAAGTCTCCAAACCTGAAAATCAAACCAGAATATAATCAATATACCCGACTTCTCATTTCCTAGGATTAAGGATGTTTTTACTTGGACTGTAATTTGCCCCAGACCAGACCAGACCAGTCCAGACCAGACCAGACTTGGATAGTTATAAAAATACAAAGAAACCAGACCTTACCAGACAAGACCAGACCAGTTCAGACCAGACCAGACCAGCAAATTACAGTCCAAGTAAAAACATCCTAAAGCCTGCTAATTCGTGAGTGAAATCAAAAAGGAAAAACACTCGTCAAATAGCAATAGGACCATTCTTGGTGTACACAAATTGTACACAAAATGTGTACATTGTCTGTGTACACAGACAATTTGACATCAAGTACTGCCCCTTTTTGAATGAATTGCCTGTGTACACAGGCAACTAGGGGGGTTTTGTGTACAACTTGTGTACAACTCATGTACACTAAGCATTTTCCATAGCAATATCAACCTGGAAAATCAAATTTTAATGACCATAGTAATATACGGAGTAGGTGTCCATGCCAAGTGCGCCAAACTCCAAGAGCTATCCATCCCAGCTATCTTTCCATGCTGCTGAAATCTGCAACGACACCACTCAGAGCTACAAGCAAGAGCAGAGCTGCAGAACAGAGCTGCTTAGCACTCCTCCAACTCTGCAATTCCCTTCCCAAACTCTCTCAATTGTACACCCACATCCTCAAGCTAGGCCTTCGATCTAACCCTCTTGTCCTCACCAAATTTGCCTCAGTTTCCTCTGACCTTGGCGCCATAAACTGCGCTTCAGCCTTCATCTTCAGCCCAGATACGGAATCCCATATCTTCGATACCTTTCTTTTCAACACTGTGATCAGAGGCTTCGCTCAAACCCGTGGCTCTACGCACAATGCTGTACTATACTACCAGAAAATGCGTAATCTTGAAGTTCCGCCTAATAAGTTTACCTTCCCGTTTGTTCTTAAGGCCTGCGCTGGCATTGGGGACTTGAAGCTTGGCGAATCGGTTCATGGGTTACTGGTGAAGTTTGGGTTTGATGATGATAGGAATGTTCTGAACACTATGGTTCACATGTACTGTTGCTGTGGTAGTGGGATTGAGTACGGCCGCAAGGTGTTTGATGAAATGGATGACTGGGACTCGGTTGGTTGGAGTGCGATGATAGGTGGGTATTCACGCTGGGGTATGTGCAGCGAGGCAATTGGCTTATTCAGGAAGATGCAAATGGCAGGGGTGAAGCCTGATGAGATCACAATGGTCTCTGTCTTGTCCGCATGCAGGGAATTGGGAGCTCTTGATCTCGGGAAGTGGCTCGAGGAGTATATAGAGAGGGAAAAACTTCAGAAAAGCACTGAGCTTTGCAATGCTCTCATTGATATGTTTGCAAAGTGCGGGGATGTTGATAAGTCGTTGAGTTTGTTTTCTCGAATGGGCAAGAAGAACGTCGTGTCCTGGACATCTGTGATAGACGGATTGGCAATGCATGGTCGGGGCTCTGAGGCAGTTTCATTGTTTGAAAAGATGAGAAGTACTGGAATCATACCAGATGGAGTTTCTTTCACTGGGTTGCTTACGGCTTGTAGCCATTCAGGATTGGTTGAAGATGGTAGGAAGTATTTTACCGCAATGACAAAGGAATTCGGCATAACCCCCAAAATAGAACACTATGGATGCATGGTTGATCTCTTCTGCCGGGGTGGGCTTGTTAAGGAAGCATTACGATTTGTTGAGAGAATGCCCATTGAGCCGAACGCGGTCATTTTGCGCACCTTAGTTACTGCTTGCCGTTCTCACGGGGAGCTAAAACTCGGAGAACAGATAACCAGAGAGTTGATCAAAGATGAACCAATGGAGAACTCAAATTATGTACTCCTCTCCAATATTTACGCGAAAATGATGAACTGGGAGAAGAAAACCATGGTTAGAGAGGAGATGTTGAAGAAGGGAATGAATAAGACTCCAGGGAGCACGATGCTTGAGCTTGGCACTGAAATATATGAATTTGTTGCTGGAGATAAAAGCCATAGTAAGTATGAAGAGATTTATGAGATGCTGGATGATATGGGAAAACAAATCAAGAATGCTGGGTATGTAGCATCAACATTAGAAGTGCTGCTTGATATTGATGAAGAAGATAAGGAGGATGCTTTGAATAGGCATAGTGAAAAACTGGCTATTGCTTTTGCGCTGTTGAAGACTCCGCCTCTAACTCCCATACGCATTGTGAAGAACTTGCGTGTTTGTGAGGATTGTCATTCAGCCACTAAGTTCATTTCTTTGGTTTATAAGCGTGAAATTTTGGTGCGGGACAGGAACCGTTTTCACCATTTCAGAGAGGGCAAATGTTCCTGTAAAGACTTCTGGTAGCCTGGTAGGTAATGCAGTGTTTATACAAGATTGCAGTGCACAGGTCCAGATATTTATACGTAAAACTCAAACACTTGAGAATTTTTGTTTTGTATTTTTGGAGAACACTAAACTAATTTATTGTTCATGGGTCATCGTGAAATAGTCTCTCTGTACTTTGGCACAGGGGTAAGGTTGCATACATCCGACCCCCCCCCCACCCCACCGTAGTGAAGCATTTGCGGCAGTGGGGTAATGTCGTTGTTGTTGTTGTACTAAACTAATTTATAGTATCTGTTGAGTGATACTCTCAACCTTGATTTTGATGGGGTTTGAACATCTGACATCGGCTTTGTAAGATAACATTGATGTTATTCGACCAGAAGGGGCTTGACAATAGTTGCTTTGTTTTTATTTTTTAAAGCTTAATGTTTTTTGGGTTTTTATTCTTGCTGGGTTTAAGACAGATTCTTGGTCTCTTTTCTTTGGTGTAATAGTCATGGTGTGATTGGAAAATTTTCAAGTGAATATCACTTTCCTTTCTACCAATTTAAAATGTAAAAAGAGGGCAATTCCATTCAAATCTGGTTGGTGTCTGCTTCTCCCCAACGTCTGAGAATCTGGTCACCTATTAACTGCGGCCTCATTGCTGGTTGAGTTTGTTGCTCAAACAGACCTTGCAGGCGCTGGTTCTGATGTGCACATGTCTCTTTCTTACTTGAAGAAGATGATACAGGATAACATGGTTCTCATGCTCTGGTGTTGTTGACATGAGGCAGTTCTCTCTAGATTTTCAGTGAGGCAGAATGTTTTGCAGCTAGTAGTGAGGGCTGAGAATTGTGATGGAACCATTTCTATCCGTTGGAGCTACGCACAGGCCCTTATGGTAATATGGTTGTTACTGTGGCCTATCACTCGGCTCTATGCCTCTATCCTAAGAAGGCTAAAGGCAACTACTTTTACTTAATTGAGTTTAACAAATAATTAAATATTTTTGACTAAAATAAATGTTCTTTGCAAAAATAGGATCTCTTAAGTGTAGTGATTACAATAGTAACTTGAATCATAGTTACTTATGCTCAATGTTTATACTTAAATAACCATCATAGTATACTCATAGTAACTTTTGTTATAGTTTTACAAATCAGTAATATTTTTCTTAAAACCTCTAAATTTTGGGATTGCTAAACAAATCACCTACATGTTGAAGCCTTAACTGCTCGAGTGACTTGAGTGATAATAATAATTGCTAAAAATGATAGTAACAACAACAATAATAATAATCATAATCATAATACTAATATAAGAAGTAGCAGTAAGTTGTAGTAGCATTAGTTCTAATGGTAATCGCAAAAGTGAAAGTCGATGTAATAGTTTACTAATAGTAGTAGTAACCGTTGCAAAACTCGTAAGGAAAAGGGAAAACTGTCAAATAGGTCCTCGAACTTTCATAAAAAAGTCAATTAAGTCCTTCTATAAGAGACTATGTGCGGTCGTCGCGATTTGGGGCGGTTCCCGGTGGAATTTTTTGATGAAATTTTTTGAGCATCTTATTCATCAAGTCTAGATTACTCATACCAAATTTCAGCTAAAAATTTAATCGGGAGCGCATTCCAATTAATTCGAGAACGCAAAAATGCGCAGTTATCTTCAAGAATTAATTTGAATGTGTTCCCGATTGAATTTTTAGCTGAAACTTGGTATGAGTAAACTAGACTTGGTGAATAAGATGCTCAAAAAAATTCATCAAAAAATTCCACCGGGAACTGCCCCAAATCACGACGGCCGGGCAAAACCTCCTATAGAAGGATTTAATTGACCTTTTTATGAAAGTTCGATGACCTGTTTGACACTTTTCCCATTTTGTTTAAATAGAACTAAAACATAGAGAGTCATAAATAAGACTATCAATGTTTTCTTTCAAAAATATGACTCATTCAATCCTAATTGGAGAAGTGTAATACTTTCAAAAACATAATTACTCTTATTTATGCACGTTTTTTCCACCAAAATTTATGCACGTTATATATTTATGCATTTTGTCTATGTCCATTCCTTTTTGAAGCATTTTTATACTAGTATTTAATAGTAATAGTAATAGAACAGGTAATAGACTAATAGCAACCCCAAAGCAGTAGAAATAACCAGCGGCGGAACCAGGCAGGGGCGAGCAATGACAAGGCCGGAGCTACTTTTGTAGCGCCCTTGGAGCTCCGGTCCGATTCCTCCTTCAGCTAAACACCCTTCTCTACTCTATGAAGTTTTTTTTTTCTTTTTACTTATTTAAACGCAATGATTCACTCATTCACTTAGGATGTTTTTACTTGGACTGTAATTTGCCCCAGACCAGACCAGTTCAGACCAGACCAGACCAGTTCAGACCAGACCAGACCAGACTTGCATAGTTATAAAAATACAAAGAAACCAGACCAGTTCAGACCAAACCAGATCAGACCAGATCAGACCAGATCAGACCAGACCAGCAAATTACAGTCCAAGTAAAAACATCCTTAGTAGCAAACGTAATTAACAGGTAAACAAGAAAAGTAAACAAGAAGATTCGAATAAAGAGGAACAGAGAAGCAAAACAGCACATTTGAACAGACATCCAAGTCAAAAAAATCTAAAGCCAACCTGTGTAAGGGGCTTTGAACAATGAGGGTGTGTAAATTGTAGCCTTGTGAAAATTAGAGCAAACAACAATTATTTCTTGTAATTTTTTGCTCTACTCATGTTTTTCTTCATCTTCCCTTTCTTGTAAATTTTGACTTCCTTATTAGTTATGACTAATTACTAATGTATTACTAATGTATTACAGAGTATTGTATTTCTTTATGCCTAAACTATGGAGTTTAGTACATACAAAGTTCTGATATACGTATGCGTTTAAAAATTAGCATTTAGAATTAGAGTTGCTATATCCTAGCCGAGATAAGCAGCTAGCATCAATTTATGATTTAAAATTTAATATCGTGTGTTTTTTACACATATGGAGTAATGCCATAAATTTAAAATTGATGCCTTATACTATATTCATTCTTAAACAATTGTAACTAGTACAATTTACAATATTTATATGCTTTACTTTGACTAAAATTTTATTTTTAAAGTATTATAATTTTCTTTAAAATGTTGTTAAATTTATCTCATTTTAAATTTTCAAAATCTGAACTTTTACTTTTAACTAACAGAGAATTAAATATATCAATGCTCAAATTTGTGCGTTAACAAACGTGAAAAATTGAATTGTTGGTAAATTTAAAATTTTGAATTATTTTGACTATTAAATAAAATCAAAATAACTTCTATAAATTTTTTTACTAACATCCAATTATTATATATAATAATCCTTTACAATAATTTGTCAATTTAGTCAAAGTAACTTCACTTTTACTTATTTTGATGATTATATTACGTATAAATAAATACACAAAATTAAAAGTTACGTATTTTGTAAAAAAGTTGGATTGATAAAGGGAAAGTTCCCGAATTAGGACTAAAAGAGTTTGAAAATTCCAAAATAGGACTAACATGTTTTTATTCCCAAAATAGGAGTAATTACTATCAAGTTTCGAAAATACTGTCATGTTTGAAGTCTGGTACTGCCAAAATATGTCAGTAATTAGTCTTATTTTGGGAATAAAAACATGATAGTCCTATTTTGGAATTTTCGAACTCTTTTAGTCCTATTTTGGGTAATATCTCATTGATAAACTAAAATTAAGGATTCATACTATCTCTAATTAGACAATCCAGGTCTCTATGCGTATTATAGAGTGTTTTCCAAAAATAATGTCAAATGAAAAAAATATCTCAAAATAAGGTTATGTTAAAAGTATTTCTCAAAATAATGATGCTTTTACTCTAGTTTAGAGAGCAGTGGCGGCTTATACATAAGCAAGTTACGCACGAAGAACAACACAGAAAGGAACAGTACGTACATAAGGCCCCACCAAAATATGAAATCCCATTTTTATTTTAATCTAATATAACTTTTTTATTTTTAATCTGATTCTTACAAAAAATATATCAAAATTCATAACTTTTTATTATCTTTCATATAACACCAATATTCGATATATAAAAATAAAAAATAATTTAACACTTTAAAAATATCCTTTTTTGTAGATGTTATATCTTTTTAATTTGTACTCCGTTTGTTACAAAAAATATATCTAAATATGTAACTCTTTCTTATCTTTCATAAGACACTAATTTTGAAGATATAACAATTGAAAAAATAATTTTTTTAATTGTTTATAAATTCAAAACTCCATAAAATAATCGAATTAATGTTTTTATCTTTATATATTCAAAATTAGTGTCTTATGAAAGATAAGAAACAGTTATAAATTTTGATATATATTTTGTAACAGTCGAAATATAAATAAAAAAGATATAACATTTACAAAAAGGGATATTTTTAAAGTGTTAAATTATTTTTTTATTTTATATATCGAATATTGGTGGCATATGAAAGATAATAAAAAGTTATGAATTTTGATATATTTTTTGTAAGAATCAGAGTGAAAATAAAAAAAGTTATATTAGTGTTGAGGTTAAGTCTCGTAGATCCGAAAGCCCAACACACGCTTTGGATATTAAGGACGTAGGTATGGTCTAAACGGTGTATAAAATACTCCCTCCGTCCCGTTTTTAACTTCTTACTTGGACCCTCACATTTTTAGGAATTAAATTTGACTTTACTGTTTAGACACTGTTTAGACACTGTTTGGCACTATTTGGCACTGTTTGACACTGTTTTGATGTAGGAAAACTTTCCATTTAGGGAAATGAGAAGATGACTTTGGGATTTCCCAAAAAGGAAAACAGGAAGTTAATAGCGGGACGGAGGGAGTATAAAATAGTGAGTCCACTGAACTCAGAGGCTAATATTGCATTAAGTAACTCTCAGATTACACTGAACTACCCGAATGGTACATCGAAATAGGGTCAAATACAAGAAAAGGAGAGATAATTCTATTGCTAAGCTCTGAGTATCAAAATGCTAACCCCTTATAATGTATTCAATGCAGGTATTTATACTAAAAGGGGGTAGGTGGGATAATGACGTGGCTGAAAACGGTTGGCTGCTGCCTCTGCCGCCTTTGCACCCATGCCTCCACTTGCTACTTCCATACTTCAGCATTAAATGCGGTTGCCACATGCTGGCTTCCCGGTCGGGTACCCCGTTTGGGGCGTCGGACTCCCTAGTGGGTGTTTTGATGTCAGTACTTCGTTAATTAGCTCAAGTGGATAAATTACCCCGAATGTTGTTCAGGTACCATCCCGAACGGGATGTCGAGAATTTCTCTGGCCGCTTTGGGCTCCCCACTTTCTCTGGGCCTTTCTATGTTCTAGGTCGGGTATGTTGGGCTTCAGCCCAATACCCCAACAA